AACAGCTCCTTGGGAAACCAACGCGCCTCTCTGCACATGTATCGTGTGTCTCTGCTTTCTTCATGCGCCGAAATAGAGAACACAATACCAGAGAGAGAAAGAGAGAGGAAAGAGAAAGTGATGACTACAATTGGCATTCTCTGACATGTATGAAGATGGATCTTACACTGAATCGATGTCAATCAAAATGATTGGTCATTTCTATGTGTTTCGGGGTGTGGGGGGAACGAGCACTGTACGAGATGATATTCTATGCGAGATGCTTGCAGCATAATGGTGATGGTGGAAGGCCAGGGTTAGGGTAACTGCTCTGCTCCCTTCTGAAGGACTCTTCCATGAGCTGAGAAGATGTGTGACAACAATCTCACGGTGTAGGCACTCTCAGAAAGGTGTTTGTGGGAGATGAGAATCATGGAGCGAGTTACATCTGCGAACTGCCCGTCAGGATACTCCTTCTGCTGTGCTGCCTACTCTACAACGTGCAGAATGAGGCTGAATTGCCAGCAATGCTGGAGGTGACTGTGGATGTGGCACACAACCTGTATTTGTTTCTCTTCCGGATGGGGGCTGCTACTACTGCAGAGGTAATTTCTGGGTTGAAAAGGTTGATGGAAGTCAACCTCAAAAAACACTGGACGAACATTGCTAGCTGCGTGTCCGACATGACAACTTTTGGGCATCATTGGCTGATGGTGCACCACTGACGTAATGCGAGAAGGACTGACGAGGGAATGAAAGGGTTGCTGGGGATGATGGGTGACTCTTTGTTGTGCCGATGCTCCTTGAGGTGACGTGAAATGACGCAATAGAAAGAGATTATGAGCAGGTGTGTAAAGCAATTGTTTTACAGGGACAGTGCTGTGTTGTGAGCTTTCCTCTGTGCTCTCCTGGTGTGCGGAGTCGCAGGGATCCAATGCTCAATTTATGGTTGCTAGGAAGTTCTGCTTTATGCAAACGGACGTACATAACTTTCAGAATCATCTTGATGTTGGTGGAAACACATGACGCTGTGTGAGGTGTGATGCCTTTGGCTGATCATCGAGATAGGTGAGTGTGTGTGTGTTTTTGTCTTTTGAATTTCTCCGGAGGGAAGCAAGTCTAGTTGAGTGAGAAAGTGCGTTGAATTATTGCTGCTTCGACATGCCCTTCACCTGCACATGGCCGCTGTGAAGGAAACGACCAAAGAGCCCATCTTGCAGAAGTCGACACTAAATCAAGTTGTTGGTAGGTGCTCTTTTTGGGTTTGTTCCTGCATACGCTTGTCGTGCTCACCGTCTGTTTGGGAAGTAAAGTGAAGGTGGGATTTCCCCTCGTGTCTGTGTTTCAGTTATGGTGAATGACGGTAACAATACTTGGGTGTGGTTTTAAGGGGAGTGAGAAAGGAGGTGTGTGTGTGTACCTTGTCGAGGGATTGGCTTCTTCCCCAGCAGCACAATATGAATTACTCTGCAGGCGACAGTGTGGTGGCGTGGTCCCCGCAGAATGTGCCTCAGCATGTGCTTCTGACGGGTGAGGCAAGCGACGCTGACACGGGTGCAGGGCATGCTGGCCACCTGATGTGCCCCTTGGAGAGGTGCAACAGACATTGAGGGGATTGTTGGTGTGAAGTGTATGGAGGCAGCTGTGTAGTAGCTGTGCTGAGGCGCAGGAGAGAGTGAGAAGTCCCAAAGAAGTGTGCAGAAAAAGTACCGACAAAACACAGTGATCTAATTGGGGAAGAAAATATATATGCTGAGCGAAGAAACATGGAGAAGTGTCCACTGTACAAGTTCTTTTGTTACTGATTATCTGTGCTCTGCATTCTATATGCTATTTTTTGCTTCTGTTTTTTTTTTGCTGAACCAAGACAAGCAGCTGCTATTAGAAGTTTTATCTATTCAAGCAATCGAAGAACATGAGGCACATGACAGGGAAATCGCAGTTGACAAATCTACAGTGTTGCAAGATACCAAAGAACATTGGCAGTTGCAGTCTCGGCGGTATGGGCCTCTCTGAACCTGTTTCAGTCCTGCGTCGAGGCAAAAGGAAGGTGAGACTGCTGGCATCTATGGGACTGCAGATGAGAGACATCCAGGTGCTGTGTCTGGTACTGATGGTTGTGGCTGCACCGTTTCTTTGGTGTGCTGCTGCTGTGGCTGGTGGCATGGTCCCCCGAACGAGAATGGCCACGCCGGCAGCTGGAAATGAATCCTTGGTGATACTCACGAACTGCTTTCCCAGCGTTATACTCGGTGGTTTGCGCAACACGTACACCTGCGAAGTTAACAATGCCCAACCACTGATTGGCCTCAACCTCGTCGCCTCGTTCAGCCCAGTTCCCTTTTCTCAATGGCCGGTGACTCTTGAGGCGGAAAGCAATAAAATGACATTCACAGCTTCTCCTGAGATTGCGCTCGAAAACCGTGGGGAATTGGTCATTGAAGAGCGTCGTGACATTTTAAGTGGTGCCACTCCTGTGACGACCAGTGTGAGCATGGACTTCATGATATTTGGTGATGCCAAAGCAAATTTCAATGGACTCCATCCGTATTACGGTATGAGTGCATCGTTTGCACCCAATCTCCCGAGTGGCACCACGGCTTCCGACTACATGCTGGTCCGCTCTTTCAATGACTGCCGGTACACCACAACAACCTGCACCGACACTGTTGGGTGCTACAGAATTGTGCCACCCGGACATCTTCCCCCTCCAGACAACTACTGGCTCTGTGTGACGTCAAATGGCTGGAATGACAAATACCTTCCGTGGGGTGTGAATTCTCTTGAGGTGAAGCTGCTGTTTGCCACGCCGCCGTACTTGGCAGCTGGTAAAGACAAAAATGTCGTGCTGCGGGATGGGGAATCTGTGGTCAGTAGGCCAGGGCGTGTGTTCCTGGCGTGGTGCCCTGGCAACGACTGCCCCATTGTGACCACTGGCAGGTGGGCAGGTGTGCTGCACCGTGATGCGTGTGTGAACCCGCCCGTCTCGTCGCGGGTGTACCTCTCCGACGAACATGTGCTGTTTGCAGAATCTGGCGTGTACGCTGTGTGTGCCGAGGGCGGTGATGGAGGGTACACTGCTCCCACTGCGCTGCGGATAACGGTGCTTCAGACACCCTTTGCCTTCAAGATAACTGCTGACACGGACCGGAACACTGTTACGATTAATGTCAGCGGTGGTGACCTCGATTGGCGCAGAGAGCCGTACACGGTGTGCGCTGTGCCGGAGAGTGACACGTGTTATTCTTTGTCTGCCCCGATTCTTATGTGCGGGTCGAGTGAGTCCGCAGATTCACCGTCCATCTTTCTGAATATCACCGAAAGCGGAATGCTTGTTAAGGATGTGAGGTTCTGTTTCGTTACGTCCTTTTATTTCATCGGAGGAAGCATCTACGGACAGATGTTCGATTTGTCAGAAGAGACGGAGGAGACGGGAGGGAAGGAAAAGAAAAAATTGTCCGCTGGAGTCATTGCCGGGATTGTTATTGCCGGCATCGTTTTATTGACTGTTGGGGTTGCCGTGTTCTACTTCTGCTACTGGCGACGAAGGCCGAGTGCGGGTAGGGGCGGCGATTACCCTTCAGCCTCTGTGTTGGGGCATCCGACGAAGAGGAGAAGCTACCCCGTGGGAAATTCCCGTGTGACACCTCGTGAAGGTGATGACGGGAACTCAAGGAGTATCGGTGAGTATCCTTCGCTGTTTTTGCCGTCAGAGGTGGATAACCCCATGTCCGATAGGCAGACGGGGGAGAGTACATTTCCCAACGTGGGGTCTACTGGGCCTCAGTATCATGATGGCTATTCAGACGCCATGACGTCTACGAGTTTTGCGCCGCATGGGAGTGGGTACACGTCACAATCTTACGCGTGATCATATCCTTCTTCCGTCAGATGATATGCCGAAGGCCTTCTTTTCGGACG